GGGTGCACTCGGGAGCCCGGGACGGACGCGCACGGCTGCGGAGCGCCTTCCTGCAGGTCGGGGCCGTGGGGGGTCTGACGGCAGACTGCTGGCTACGGCACGTGACCGGCGCTGCGAGGGAATCGAGGTTCCGCGTTCGGGAAGAGTCTGCGGAGCTCGGGTTGCGTGACCCGTTTCGGGTGTGTGCACTGGTGCACGAGACCAGCCTAGTTTCGGTACCTTTAAAGGCATCAGTTGGGCTGCCCCAGGTCCTGCCTTTGCCAGGTGCCGCTGACAGTTTGAGGACTACTGAGTGTCCCTGCTGCTCCCACAGACAGTTGTTAGACATGCTGATTGGTTCCTAGAATTATTTAAACAAAACCAATGCAGGAGTAAGCTCTAGATTCTGAGGGTTGAAGAGGCACAATCCTGACTGGTGGGGCTCTGCAGGTCAGCAAGAGGGTTGCCAGATATGGCGACTTCAGCCACCTGGGATTCCTCTGCCTTTCCCTCTGGCTCACGTTCTACTGTAGTTTCAGCTGTTTAAAACCCTCTGACAGTTCCTCCTTGCCTACAGGGTGTAATTCAACCTAGAAGCCCCTCCTTGAGGGGAGGTGGCCTGCTTCTGTGACTTCAACAGCCCCTTTTGGTGGCCTTCAAGTTACCAGGCTAGTAAATTCAGAAGGTTGTGAGCCCACCGATATGTCATTCATGGTGCGCCTAAAATGCCTTTCCCTGCCTGGTCCCGGCTTTTTTTTTTTAAGAGAGAGGAGAGAGAGAGAGATGAGAATTTTTAATATTTATTTTTTAGTTCTCGGCGGACACAACATCTTTGTTGGTATGTGGTGCTGAGGATCGAACCCCGGCCGCACGCATGCCAGGTGAGCGCGCTACCGCTTGAGCCACATCCCCAGCCCCCTGGTCCTGGCTTTTATGCTTCCAAGACCTTGGACATGTCTGATCTATGGGATGTTCCTGGTTTTCAAATGGGGTCATCCAACCCAGCCTCCAAGAGCCAATGTGTAGCACATGCTAGAGACTCATGAACTATTGCCATATTATGTCACTGTGGGTATGTGACAGATCTTAATTTTTTATTATTTATTTATCTGTAGTACTGTTGAAATCCAGGGACTATGCCTTTACCCCTGAGCTACATCTCTAGCCCTTTTTATTTTGAGATGAGTTCTCTCTTAGTTGCCCAGGCTGGCCTCGATCTTGGGATCCTCCTGTAGCTCAGCCTCCTGAGTCACTGGGATTGCAGGTATGCACCACTGCACCCTGCTGTCTCTTCTCTTGACCAATGTAGTGATTAAGAAGGTGTATTAGGGGTTCTAGAACACTGGATTTGAAGTGTGGCTCCACACTTCTGGATTGGGTTGCTTATGTAGCTTCTTTGTGTCTCAGCTTCCCTGTTTGTAATGTGGGGATGATATTAGTACCTCCCCTCAGAGGTTTGCTCTATTTCATGAGATGATACCCCTGCATGGAACTTAAAGCACGGGGCAGTAATTACTTACGGTTATGGAATGCCCCATGCTATCCTATATTTTAAGTGATTTACCTCTTTAGATCTTCACAGGAACAGTAGAAAAGTGATACTGTTGTTATTGAGGCCTGCATTTTATAAATGAAGAGACTACAGGAGACCTGAGTGACTTGCCAAGGTCACCTGCCAATGAGGAATGCTGCCAGGATTTGAACCCAGACATCCAGGTGCAGAGATTACCCCATGCCATCATGTCTCTTAGGAAATGCTCTGGAAATGCTGCTGTCATGAATGAGGCAGGTCAATGCCTGGTGCACAGAGTAAATGAAAATACTCCAAAAGCTGTGGACCTGCGATGGTCGTCCCATCTCTCCAGCTCTTCCACTCTCACCTTGCTTCCAATCTGCTGATTTGAGCTAAGCTTCACAAAGTGTTGTCTCTTGAACACCAAAAGTGCATAGACATTGTCTGGAAGGTACATACGCAGATAGATTCACTCAGCACAAATTTCTCTAGTACCTACTGAGGGCTCAACCTGAGCAGTGGATATTGAAATTCCTGACAGCACCCATTCAGTGGAGACTCCATATTTGTCCCCTGAACTGCTGGCAGCCATTGGGAAGGGTGCTCAAAAATAATCTGCCACTTCTCTTACTACACTTTTCATCTGTTCATTCTTCTAACAAATAATGTTTAAGGTACTCTATTCCATGTAGTGTGTGCTAGGCAACACAGCATCTAGTAAGACGCATGACTTCTGGTTACTAGTCTTGATATATATTCCAGTTGAATAAGAAACTAAGTGGATAAATAGTTCTGGAGAGTGACAAGTACCAAGAGAAAGAGAGGACTGGGGATGTGGCTCAAGTGGTAGGGCGCTTGTCTAGCATGTGTGAGGCACAGGGTTTGATTCTCAGCATCACATAAAAATAAAATAAAGATATTGGGTCCACCTAAAACTAAAAAATAAATACTAAAAAAAAAAAAGAGGAAGAAAAACAGGATGATATAACACAGTGACTTGGAGATTACTGGTGATAAGAGAAGAACGGGAGAGGGGACAATGCATTTTCAGGTTTGGAGACAGAATGTTCTATGCAAAGAGAATAAGTGCAGAGGCACTGGAGTGTGAGTGGGCTTGGTGTTTCCCAGGAACAGGATTGGGGCAGCTGGAACACTAGGAGGCAGGAGTGGTGTTTAGTTTGCCTTTGACTAAGTCACTGACTCTTTTTAAATTCCCATTTTCTCAACTGTAAATTGGAGGCAATTTTATCTGTTTTAGTAAATGTCTAATTAGAGAAGAACCATCATATGTTTTTCAAACATAGGGAATTCAATACAGGTATTGTTTACAAAGGTGTTGGAAGGGCAGGAAAAGCAAGAGGACAATAAGAGCATGCAGACACTAGCAACTGGAGTTAGCTGCTGCACCCCATCAGTTGAAGGAACAAAAGGAAAAAATCATATTTCCAGAAACTGTTCTTGAGCTGCTGAGTAGGAGCTGGGAGCTGCACTTACTTAAGGGCACTACTGGAATGCAGCGGATGCCATAACTGTGACCTGAGGTGTTGCCAGAAGCTAGAGACTGGAATGACTTTTCGTTTTCTTTCATTTTCCAAACTCCCACCAATGCCTCTCATTGACAGAATCAGTTGACAAAGGAGTCTGGGAAATGTAGTTTAACCCTTGGCCACAGAATGGTGAGTATAAGAAGGAAATGTGGAAATGAAGACAGCAGAAACCATTCACACAACCCATCTTTCAAGGCTATTTAGAGGAGAAGTGTGTATATATTCATAAATGATGACTATTCTTTTTTCTTTTTCTTTTTTCCTTTCTGTTGTACTGGGGATTGAACTCAGGGAGGTTCTGCCACTGAGCTACATCCCCAGCCTCCCACCTACCCCTTTTTGAAACAGGGTCTTGCTAGGTTGCTGAGACCAGCCTTGAATTTGGTATCCTCCTGCCTCAGCCTCCCAAGGTGCTGGGATTACAGGTGTGCCTCACCATGCCTGGCAAATTATGCTTATTATACTTTATAGCACATTGTAGCCATTCAGGGAGAGGAAATCTTCCAAAAACATCTTAGGTATGGTATTTCCACAGAAAGCTTTGAATTTGCAATTAAAAGCATCAAAAATTAGCATCTTAAAAACAGGATTTTAGGGTTGGAGATGTAGGTCAGTGGTACAGCAGTTGCTAACATGTGCAAGGCCCTGGGTTCAATCCACATCATCGCACACATAAAAATAATAATTCTTTTTATGTTAAATTACATAGAATTTTAATTTGGAATGCTTAACATGTTCATGTAGTACAAAATTCACATTATAGGGCTGGGGTTGTGGCTCAGTGGTAGAGCACTTTCCTGGCATGCATGAGGCACTGGGTTTAATCCTCAGCACCACATAAATGTAAAATAAAGATATTGTGTCCACCTAAAACTTAAAAATAAATTTTAAAAAAATTCACTTATAAGGGGCTGGGGTTGTGGCTCAGCAGTAGAGCGCTCATCTAGCATGTGTGAGGCCTGGGTTTGATCCTCAGCACCACATAAAAATAAACAAAGGTATTGTGTTCAACTACTTCTAAAAACAATGTTTAAAAAAATTAACATTATAAAACAATATACAGTGAAAGTAAGTTTTCCTTTTTCATCTTTCCATCATTTAATCTTCTCCATCCCCCATGTATAAAGTGTATGCATACATTAAAAGCAAAAAAAAATGGGGCTGGGGATGTGGCTCAAGCGGTAGCGCGCTCACCTGGCATGCATGCGAGCCGGGTTCAATCCTCAGCACCACATACAAAGATGATGTGTCCGCCGAAAACTAAAACATAAATAAATAAATAAATGAAAATTCTTTGTCTGTCTCTCTGTCTCTCTCTCTCTCTCTCTCTCTCTCTCTCTCTCTCTCTAAAAAAATAAAATAAGAGCAAAAAAAATTTTTATTTTAAATAAAGGATGTATTCTATGCAGACTACCCTGTGTCTTTTTCTTCTTTTTTCCACGTGACTGTCTTGGAGATCCTACTCCATCAGTACACACCTGACTTAATAGTGTGTGGCATTCTGCTGTTTAGATAGGCCATAATTTTATTAGCCAGCCTTTCAACAGTCTTTTCCTAAGAATGCTGCAGTAAATATGCTTGCACAACCTCCTGGTGCCCACATGCTAATGTGACTGTGGGGTCAAAAGTTGCCGGTGTCAGATATCACAAAACACCGCTATCCACTCCCAGGCAGTGTTTGACAGAGCCTGTTTTCCCACAGCTTCACCAGCACTGTCTGTTAGCAAATATTTTCTCTTTGCAAATCGGACAGGTCAAAACTAGTGTGAAACAGGTGGAATCTGCAGCTACAGTTACTAGCAGTGTGCCCATGTAGATTTAATAAAAATGAGGTCCATATGCATCGTATAGATAATGTATATTATATATGTATATATATGCTTGTGTGTGTGTGTATATATATATATATGTTTATTTTATTTTCAAGGTTTATTTTTAAATTTTTTTTGTGGTGAAAAAGATAATTTTTTGCAGATTTCACCTGTTTCCCACTATGTTCTTTATAGACCTAAGCAAGTTTCTTTCTCTTCTTTTTTTCAGTGTCTTTTAGAGATGCTATCTAGTGGGCTGGATGGGTAGCTTGATATTAAAGCACTTACCTAGCATGACAGGGCCCTGGGTTTGATTCCCAGCATGGGGTCGGGGGTGGGGGGGGAGTGTATCTTGTTATATGTAAGTTTTGCATTTTTCGTACTATGAAATAGAGCATCATGAGGATCCTTCTCTTTGCTCTCTTGAGAGGAGGTCTCCCTCTCATGCCCAAACTGGGCTTGAATTCCTGGGCTCAAGCAGTTTTCCCAGCTTAGCTTCAAGCCTGTGCCACTGTGTCTGGAGTGAGGCTGGTTTTTTTTTTTAATATTTATTTATTTAAGTTGTAGATGGACACATACCTTTATTTATTTATTTTTATGTGGTGCTGAGGATTGAACCCAGGACCTCACACATGGGAGGCACGTGCTCAACCGCTGAGCCACAACCCCAGCCCGAGTGAGGCTGTTTTTAAAAAGAAGGCCTTAGCATGCTTATTTTCTAAAAGGTTACAACTTCTTCACATTTTAAAAATGTTAACAGTGCTTTTCCAATTCCTTCCATCTGATACTATGTTTCTTATTTCCATAAGTTAAAAGGCAACTTCAATATTTTCCCCTTTGGGTTGCAGATTCCCTGTTCAGAATGTTGGGTTTCTTTTGTTTGTTTTTTGCAAAAGTCACAATATATATCTAATAAACAATACAGTGATGTATAGAAAAGAGTGGATAATTTCCTGCCCAGCCTTTTGCTGCTGTGATCTAACATTAACATTTGATATCTATCCTTCCTTATTTCCTTACTCTAAACACAGGGGGCTGGGAATGTGGCTCAGGGGTGGAGTGTCTGCCTGGCATGTGTGAGCCTCTGTGTTCAATGCCCAGCACCACAAAAAAATTAAAAAATAAACACAGAAATAAATATATATATAACATATGAAATGCATATGGACCTCATTTTTATTAAATATATATTTAGTATATAAATATACTTACATGTAAAATATATATTATTCGTTTATATATTTATATGTATTTAGATATAGTTGATAAAAATAAGATCCTTATGCATTTCTTTTCAGCCTCTTGTTTTTTACTTAACATTATATCATGACTATTCTTCCAAGATCAATATAAAAAGGTCTACTATATTACTTAACAATAACTTCATGCCTTTATAACATTCAGGAACTCAGATGATAATATATTCAAACTTATTTCTAAAGTTTAATTTTTAGATTTTTCAATTGACACCTAGTAATTGTACATATTTGTGACATTGTAATAATTGTACATATTTGTACATAGTGTGACATTTCAGTTCATGTATGAAAGTGTCATTAACATTTATTTTTCATGTGGACTGTAACCACTGCCAACAATGCTACAAAAAGGTTCTCAGTTCTTATTAGCTGCTGCTGTTGTTTTCACAGTCCTAAAGCAGGAATGCTGATGACAGAGTATGCACACTTTAATCTTAAGACAGTGCTACCATAACCTGTGTATAGAAAATCCTAAGGAATCCACTAGAAAATCTATTAGAATCAATAAACAAGGGGCTGGGGTGGTGGCTCAGTGGTGGAGCACTCACCTAGCACGTGCCAGGCCCTGGGTTCCATCCTCAGCACCACATATAAATAAATAAAATAAAGATATTGTGCTCTGTCTACAACTAAAAAATAAATATTAAAAAAAGAATCAATAAACAACTTTAGCAGAGTTGAAGAGTACAAGATTAACATACAAAAGTTAATTCTATGTACTGTCGTGAACAATCAAAAATGGAAATTTAAAAACAATTCCAGCGCTGGAGTTGTGGCTCAGTGGCAGAGCACTTGCCTAGCATGTGTGAAGCCCTGGGTTCGATACTAAGCACCACATTAAAAAAATAATAATAAGGGCTGGGGATCTGGCTTGTGTGCGGCCCGGGTTCGATCCTCAGCACCACATACAAACAAGGATATTGTGTCCGCCGATAACTAATAAATAAATATTAAAGTACACTCTCTCTCTCTCTCTCTCTCTCTCTCTCTCTCTCTTTCTCTTTAAAAAAATAATAATAATAAAATAAAAGCTTCTATCCACACACAACTACCAAAAAAATTTTTTTAAATAATTCCATTTATAGTAATATAAAAATTAAGATATGTAGGATTAACAGAGGAGGTACAAAATCAACTCTGAAAACCATTAAACATAGTTGAAAACAAAGATCTAAATAAGCATAAAGGTGTCCTAGGCACGAATTTTAAGACTTCATATTGTTAGGTTGCAATTCCCTGTGTTGGGTTGCTGTGACTGACATGACAAGAGTCCCACAGAAAGCTATGGGCTTACAGTTCTGGAGCCTGGAGGTCCGGGTCCTGGCAGGGCTGGTTGATGTTTCTCCTCCCTCTCCTCCTGCTCCTCCTCTCTCCTCCTCCTCTCCTCCTCTCCTCCTCCTCTCCT